TGTACAGGATCGTCTTGCCAGCACCAGTGGCTTCCATTACCTTTCGCACAAAGGTGGCTCTTCTGTCTTTATTTGTCGCACTGTTCATTGTTACCGGCTCGGGCAGGACCTTCTTAACCGTGTACATGCGACCACTCAGGTGCTTGTGAACAGTGTTAGTGGACAGCTGCACACCAGTCTCCTCGCGCAGTTTGTTCGCGATCTCCTTCAGAGTGAGCTGAGGGCTAGCTTCTACATAGCCCACTAAAGTGTCAATCATTGCCGCGTCCACCTTGCAGACCGTTGCGCCACCTCGCTTCCTTGGTGGCCCGTCACCCTCACCCTCGCCTCGCCGAATGTAGCCGTAGGCAGTCTTCACGGCAACTCCATTGGCAGTGGCGGCCTGCTTCCAGTCGCCGCCAGCTTTGAAGCAGTCTATAATCCGCTTCCGAGCATCACGTGGGACTCGGACGTAGTGCCCACGCCGGGTTCCTGGTTTGACTCCACGTCGATTCGGCGTGTTTGCCGGCGCTGGTTGGTCAACTTCCTGATCCGTGTCTTCTAAGACCTGAAAGTCACCCTCCATGATGCAATGCAATTGTATGGTACAGAAGTTATTGGTATTTACAGAAGAAATATATATTACATAGACTATAAAGCCAACTTTTCACACCAATCTACTTCAAGTGAGTGAAATAATCAGGACTCAAAGGAGCCATCGTCTTCAGCTCAGAAAAAAATGTCAGTAAAATTAGTTTTTTTCACGTGCAATTTAACTGTGCAAAACCATGCACCTTGTTTTAGTAAACCTCCGTTAGGCACATCAGTGCACCCACCTGCATAGGCATAGGTTAAGCTATCATAGCTTCAACAATCGCCACATAGGTAAATGTTCAACACATCCAATAATGTTAAACTCATCAACTGTTTTAAATTGCATTTCAATTGTTTTAAAATGCATTTCACAAAGATTAATTTGGATCTCAACTGTTTTAATATGGGCTTCACTTGTCTTAAATTGGATTTCACTTGTTTTAATTTGGTCTTCAGTTAGATTAATTTGCGCCTAAAAAGGTGTAGTGGGTAGTCTCACCCGTCACATCCGGTGTGTATCAGGGCGGTTCCCTCAGCTGTTTGCTATTCGCCATTTTCGCCAATGATATGTGCCTGCATGTTCCTGAAGTCAGCATTGTTCAGTTCGCAGATGATACGCAGATTTTAGTGACCGGCAAAAAAAACGAATCTGAGTCAATTAATATCGAAGATGGAACGTGCACTATCAAAGCTGTTTGACTGGTTCTGCGCTAATGATATGAAGGTGAATGCGACAAAAAGCCAGATGATAGTGTTTGGCACCCGCCAGATGCTGCGAGATATGCCTCCCGTGAGCATCCGGTTCGCTGGGACTATTATGCACGAGTCCGAAACTGTGAAAAATCTAGGCGTTGTGATGGACAAGCACTTAACTTTCCATAGTCATGTGAACCATGTCGTCTCAAAGTGTACCGGATCACTCCTGGCCTTAAACCACGCGAGGCATGTATTACCAACACTGACCATGAAACCAATCGTGACCTCGTTAGTAGTATCAACTCTGCGTTACTGCCTTTCCGTGTATGGCACCTGCGGAGCTATAGAGCGGCGTCGACCGCAGAAAGTGCTGAATTTCTGCGCTCGTGTGATAAGTGGCCGACGGAGGCGAGACCATGTATCCGACGTGTTGCGCAGCTTAAGATGGTTGACGGCTGACAACCTGGTATTGTACCACAGGGTGTGCGGTGTACGACGCATTGTCGAGTCCGGCCACCCAAGCGAGATCGCGAGCACGTTGGTCACCGCTGCCGGCCATGGCCACGACACGCGGAATGCCGGCCGACTACGTCTCCCGCGAATACGTACCGAGGCGGGTAGGAGACAACTGGTGTACGGGGGCGTGGACGAGTACAACCAGTTTTGTGAAATTTATGACGGCCGAACATCTTTTAAATATGCGCTCAGAAGATTTTTACTTCTGAAGCAGGCAGCATAACAATTTATCACTGACACTGACATGGCAACTGTTCTGCGATGTTTTGTACGAATGTATCTGTGTATGCTCATTTATCTATAACTACTCGTTTTTACGTTATATGACACTGCGTTAATGAAAAGCCGCGAAAGCGGATTAGCGTGAATAAATGAACTGAACTGAACTGGGAAATCGAAATATTAATTGAACCAATGTCAACAGGTTAAAAGAAAAGTTTGAGCATAGAGATGGACAATCGCTTGCTTAAACTAAAGAGGCTCAACCAAAATCTATGGGTGCAAGGTAACAACTGGTGGGTATAGCAAACTCCTAATTAACCTTATTAAAGAGCCTATATACCATGGCCAAATGTCAAGCATTCTTTGGAGAACTGAGCTGGTGCTCCTTTCACATAAAACATCATGTTTGTAGGTGGACATTGTTGCCGCTGGTACAACTACTTAACTGGCGATAAGTATGTTTCAGAGGGGTAACAAAACAACAATGTTTTAGTGCTGATGAGTGTCATTCACGTATTGAACGAGCGAGCTGTTATAGATACTACGACATTTATATCTGCATGAAACTGGCAGCAACAGCTTGTGAGACAACATATATTGACGCAGGGCAGTGGTTACACTCTCGTCGTGTGAGAACATTTGGGTTTTTGTGTTTGATTTATGCTGATGAAGCGCAAGACCGACAGCGTTGTGGTAATTCTCATGAATTAGCATACGGTGTCGTGCTTGTTTAACCCTCGCCTATATATGTGCGGCGTTTTCGAGCGTCTAACGTGTGTGCGGGAGGAGTCGATTTGACCCCCTGGTTGACCTTCCAGTCACGTCAATGGCCCAAAAGTCGGGAAAATCGGGACCTGTCAGAACCTCGTAAAGTGAGGTTGTTATGGATGTTTTCGGAGTGCTAATTACGAATTTCATGTTAGTTTTGATCGCAGATGATGTCTTTATGCAATTAGTCCAGCCAGGTAGCGTCAGTTCAGGTCAGGTCAACCAGTAGGCGTCCAACAGGGTATCCATAGCAGGTGTCAGCCACCTGACAGCCTCGTGACATGTTATGAAGGCGCCTAAACTTCTTGCTAAATGTTCAAATGGCTGCTAAACTCGAAATCAGCTCTAAAAACTGGCTTAGAAACATGCAATACTCTAAAAAGTGAGCCAAGGTCATCAAAGGTCAATGACCTTGGCCGCCTGATCTTTATGTGACCTTGACACCCACCATAATGCATGGGACCAGCATCATTTCACATGTCTGAACGTTTACAGTCACAACAAGACTGGAAAGGGGCGGATAATGTGAGCTGACATGCACCGAATCGCGATTCCGACCAAACATGATCTCCAGAAATAGGTCACAGGTCAAAGGTCATTTGGGTCAGGGTCATGAAATTATCTGGGTAGGTCATAGGTGGAGAATTGTGACCAGCTGGGGGTGCTCGGGCGCAGCAAATCCGCCGCCGCCTAGCGGTGACCTTGACCCGCGCCGCCCGGCCGCGGCTCCAAAGCCAAGCCGGCGTGGCCGGCGTGGAATTGGGAGAGCTCGAGCACCCCCAGTCCAGCACAATTCTCCACCCGTGGGGTAGGTGCATAATTGGCCAACTCGAGGGTAGGTACTGAAAGTTTCGTCGTGCTCGGCTGCTTTTTGCGCGAGCTATTTGCGAAAAACCGAGAGGCATCTGATCCCCTACAAGTGCGAGGATTAACCATGCAATTTAGGAGCTCTGCTACATCACCTTTCAAGTTTCAATTCATTTCATTTTCCTTCATTTTTGGAAAAAGGACAAAATAAATGAATAAATTGACAGTGCTCGTGCATCAACTGATGAAGTATAGGTGTTCACTGTTCAATTTACATATGTAGCCATAACACGACTACGCATTATCAATAAGTTTGCGAACATCACTCACAACTTTGTGCGAGAACTTCATAACCTTGTGCGAGTATCACTTACAATTCGTAAGGCACATTTGCCATCTTTTTGCCGTGGGACAGAAGCAAAGATATAAAAGTTACGCACACAAAGTATTCTGAGAGTGAAATCATTAATTGTGATTTTAACCCTCGCCGGACCTATTGGTTTCCCGGCCGGGGGGCGGGCGGGCAGCACCCCTCCCTCGCTGTTTCTCCCCTATAATGGAGCTGGAGCATCGCGGAAAAAACGAGCGTGTGCTCGCCCATAATGGAGCTAGACTTTAGAGCATCACGAAAAAAAAAACGAACGTGAGCACAGTTACGAGGCGCAGCGATCGGTACATACCCGATTTCAAGGTCTCAGGTCAACTGGTGACCAACTTCCCTTAGAGTTCAAGCTCGGATTTCCGTTACAAAAACAAAGTTTTCACATTTCATCTAACATGGTCACAGGTACGTTGTTGTTTTAATAGTATCGGACCTTTCGAAGCAAAAGCAAACATATCTCAAATTACAACAACATCCCTGTGCTCGATAGTTTTCGAGGAAACCCTGCTGACAGGATGTGCCCCGTGACAGAAACTCTCCACTCGCCCCTACTTACAACGGCGAGGTCACGTGACCGACCTGGCCTCAGGTGACCCTTAGGAAAAATCAGAGGTTTATAAGTTGTGTAACCTCTCGAGGATACTAGGTCCTGTAAGTTTCATCTCCCTGCAAAAGCTCCTCTGGCACTGAGGGTGTTGCGAAGCTGCAGTACCTATTTTAAGACCGTGCAGATGTTTACTTATGACGTATCTGAGAATGCAGTTGGTGTCAAAAGATCCGACTTTTATCAAAGGCTATGTATGCTAAGTTTCAGCTCTCTATCGCCGGCGTGTTTCGAGCTATCACGAAAAAACCCTATGGAGGGGGGAGGGGGCGGCGGTATCCGTGCCCGGCCCTCGCCGGGCGAGGGTTTAATACCTGGTGACAGGTCATCACAAGCTGCATCACTGGTCCTTGGAACCCGCTGAGTATCGCCGAATCTCGCTGACAAGGCTCGATGATTCCAAAAATGCCTCTGAAGCTGGCCGAAACCTACCTGGGCGGACGGCGGCGCGGCAGCGGGCGGCGCACTACGCACGGCACAGTGCCGCGGTGGTTGGGATCGCGCTGCTCGGGACGGCTCTGACCGCGTGCCCGATTCGAGCGCGTCCTGCGCCGGCCGGCCGGCCGTCACCGACCTATAACGGCTCGTAGGCCGCGCAGCCGACCGGGCCACTGCGCGCGGCAGACGCGGTGGGCGGCCGTGCGCCACCAACGCACCTTCACTGGGATGCCCTCGGAAACACCTGCCAAATTTCCGGAAGTAGGCGGCGGTATGGAGACATTCAGTGCTGTTCATGGCATACGAGGACCCAAAATCATCCTCCAAGGATCTAAGGAAATTGTTCCAAGAATTAAGTTCAAGGATCCGTTCACCATCTGGCCCTGTATTGACACTCGACGGCAAGAAAGACGCATTAACCAGAAACGGCCAACGCAGGTCGCTATTACTGTCATTTAACCCGCGATGGACTAAGGGGGAGGGCTGCACTCACGTACTTACTCGTACTACAGAGCCCTCTCCCGTTTTTCTCCAATATCTTCTGAAACACGTAACGCATCGACACGAAACTTTCAGTACCTTCGGCTACATCGATTTGACATATCCTGTACCTGAAGAAAAGTTAGGCCTATTTTGATGTGAAATATATTTCTACAGCGATTGCTCTCAATGGCCAGTTTTATCTGGCACTGATTTTTTATCATAAGATGACAGCACATGGGCTGCTGTCTCGAAGATAATTTGTAAAAGCATACATGAAAAACTTATAAGTTATGCTTTGTAATTTTCAGCTATGTTTTTTAGTACTTGAAAAACCTGAACATATCTGATACACTATATCGACACGCTTTTTTAACCCCATATCTGTTCTCCCGTGAATTTCCGACAAGTTGGTTAGAGACTTTCAAAAAAGGTACAGTCACTCGATTTTTCTCAAGGTTGTCTGTCTTGGCAGATCAGGCGATGCCAGAACAAGCTTACGAACACACATATTTGATCAGGATCGGACGATTGGCCACTTTTCAAAAGCGATCTTTTGCGCTTTCCGGAAATTCACGGGAGAACAGATGTGGGTTAAAAAACGTGTCGATATATGAACAATTTCAGAATGTTTAAACCAGTTTACTTTTAAATGGCAGGGTTATCTGCTTTACATTTGATCGGAGTCAATTACCTATTCACCGCTATCAACAAATGTAGTTTTCAGTACGTTTTCACTTCGTTGTGAACATCGCACCTAGCAGCATTGTCAGCATAGTGTTCTGAGCTCAAACGGCATCCAAGAGACACGAGACACCTCTATGTTGAAGAATAGATTAAAATTGGAGCTTTTTAGCCCGACCGTAACCTGACTGTTTGTTGTTACCATATCCCTCTGAAAATGGCTTCTTTCTCATAGAGATCTTATATACAAAATTATACGAAATTATGCGATCTTATATAGGGGAAGCCGGGGTAACCCCGGGCGCTGGGGAAGCCCGGCCACCCCGTTTCCAGCAAGATTATTCATAATAAAATGCTTAAGTGTTTGTCCTTTCAGCGTGGCAGCTGAGGTAACGCCAACGTAAAAGTTAACGCTAACAAAAATTGTATATGGTTAAAGTTATAGAGCAAAATTGATATTTTAAGGGTTTTTAGCTAAAAACTGAGATATGTTGCACTGCCAATGTTATACCATACAACCCTAATATTTATACGAATGTTATGAAAGGATCGTTTAAGTGTTTGCAGTGAGGAGTGACGAGGCAGGCTGGCTTAAGTATGACATTTTTTCCAAACATCGGTGTTCTAAAATAAAATTAGCTCATTAGAGTAACCCCGGGCGAGTGGGCGAGCTTACCCCCAACCGAGAGCAATTCCACTAAACCACTGTTTTCCATGAGATGATATGTACATACTGAGTAGGTTTGGTTAACACCTAGCCCAAAGATAAATTTCGGAAATAAACATGACAAAACCTCTTCGGCCTGTCGCTCTATTCCAGTGCCTATACTCCTATGGATGAAGGGCGATTGCTTGCTTGGTTTTTACTGTAAAATATGGGAGATATCCGCTTCATTTTAACGGTTTTTGTTACCCTCCATCAGTTTATATCAATAAGTGACTAAGTTTATGTTTGCATGCTGCAAAAACAGTCATGTCACTTGAGGTCAACTAGGGTCAAACTACGTTTTTGCAGATAACCCGACAGACAATGAAGATAAAGCTTTAAAAATGGCGCCGTTGTGTTCTTCTTCATCAGTCGAGTCGAATGATATGCAACATAACGAGGCTTGAAATGATCTCACGCATGTCAAAGTGTTTTTATTTTAGGCAAAATAAATATTTAAAACAGTAAGACAAGCTTTCGGCATTGTTTGATTGCGTGAGATCATTTCAAGCCTCGGTATATTAATAATAATCATGTCATCCATCCTTGCCCACATAAAAAAGATATGCAACATGATGCATTTAGGTAAATACCAAAATAAATTTTCAGGAATTTTGAAATACACATTCTTTGTCAATTTTGCATCACGATTTTCATCGACCTGTGCTCTATATGTGATAGAATTGTGCATATGGAAAGATAGCTGGCGGAGAACATCACAGGAGAGGAAGAATGAAGCTTCATCCTCGCCCCATTATGAAAGAAATAAATATGTTTGCAATCTTGCTGATGACGGACAGCACTGCATTGGCCTGGCCGAACGCGTGCACGACTGCTCGTGACTCCAGTTCTGGGCATGTGCCACTACAAGCAGCTGTTGACATGAGACGGGTGCAGATATCATGCCATGGAACAACTAGTGCCTGGTGATGGCCGCTGCCAGCAGTTATATCCTTGCAAGAAATAGTAACGAACCTTACGCTGCACTCTACATACAGGTCCAGTCCAAGCCCTCAGATGGTGCTGATCTGAGCTCGAATGGCATTGCCTAAAGCTGGAAATTTGGAAGGTGCAAAGTCTAAACGACTCAGCCAACTCCGAGGCAGAACCTTTGACTGACTCTTGGCATTACCTGGGGGCCGACACAGTGGGTGGGCCATGAACCTTAGGCGGCGGACCTGATTCTCCTCCTCTTCAGCCTTTGCATGCACACTCCTTTATTATATGATGCGTCTTGGTGCCACCATACGGCCCATACAGGATGAAAATCTTCTGCTACATTAGGTTCTTCAGATTCAGACGACAATTAGGGTACCCTGGGGCAAGACGTCCCAGATAATTTTTTTTTTTTTGCTATATAACTTTTGTCCCACATCACCTGGAAGGCCAAATTTGTGCTCAATGCGTTCTTTGGACATTTTACTTTAAATTGCACCCCTCAAATTCACTCTCTTATGATCGGACTCCAAGCTAGGAAGTGATTTGTGAAGTAACTGCAAATGGGGCATTTTGCCCCAACCCCAGGGCAAAACGCCCCACAGCCTGGGGCAAGTAGCCCCATACCCGCGCCCCACTGGGGGGTTATTTATAGCCCCCCTCCCGTTTTTCTGCAATAACTTCCAAACCGCTTGACGTATCGACGCCAAACTTTCAGTACCTTCGGCTGCATCAATTTGACACCTTGTGTCAAAATTTGAACTTCGTACCTACCATAGGTCGGCCGGAAATGACGTCAGAGTGACGTCATGTTCGGCCGATTTCGACGCAAAACATTGAACCACGGCAATCGCTCCCAAGAGCTCAGTTTTTAAGCTAGATCCAATGTCTTTGCATGAGAGGACTCAGAATAGACTGCGCTATCAAACTGCTATCTCGGATTAAATTTTATATTTTTACATTTTTTTCAATTTTTTTTGACTTTTCGAAAAAACCGGAATATATGTGATAGAACACATTATCATGACTAACTCTAGCAAGTTTTAGCTAAATAGGGTAGCCTGGGGCAAGACGCCCCAGACAATTTATTTTGCTACATAACTTTTGTCCCACATCACCTGGAAGGCCAAATGTGTGCTCAATGCGTTCTTTGGACATTTTACTTTAAATTCCACCCCTCAAATTCATTCACTTATGATCGGACTCCTAGCTAGGAAGTGATTTGTGAAGCAACTGCAAATGGGGCATTTTGCCCCAACCCCAGGGCAAAACTCCCCACGGCCTGGGGCAAGAAGCCCCATACTCTAGATTAAAGATTAAACACACTAGTTGACTTAAATCTTATATGAGGTCTGTTAGACCTTGGGAAGCACAGCACTGAAGTTAGCTCCTTCCATCCTATCAGGTGTTCAGCTATGACACTATTGTATGAGCAGGTTTTTCACCTGCCTCATAAGGCCAAATAATAAATTATTGCAATGGAAATGTTAACAAAACTTCCTTTTCTTACTTCCTTTGCCATCCAGTTGCTGAGAAAAGTACATATAAATGCATAGAAACTTACTGTAAGCCAGCTACCAAACATTAGGAAGTGGGTAGTCCGAACAACACATGAGGTAAAACGCCCCATGGGGCGTTTTGCCCCGCGACCTACTGGGGCGTTTTACCCCATCACGTAGTTCGGTCAGAGAACAACGCCTTGCACTCCAGCAAGACATAATATAATGGAGAGGTCGCAAAATTGACCTGACCTTAGGTCACAGATATCAAAAATCCGAGATATACATTTTATACATACTGTTACTCATATCAATCGCTGAAAGTTTCAAAGTGATCGTTCAGTCGGTGTAGCTATAGCGAGCCTTTGAACTTTTTCTGAGGTAAGGTCACTTGACGTGACCTGGTGACCTGACCTTGAACGGCCTAGGTCTGAAATTTTCACAACATGTGCGGAAATGATGTAGGAACACGTGTACCAAAAACGGCGGCGCGCAGCGCCGCCGTTTTTGAGATATTCGCGAAAAACCTGAGGGGGGGGGGGCGTAAAAACGCCCCCCCCCAGCACGGCGCGGGTTAACACGAACCAACCCGGCATTATAAGCGTTAGATAAAGTTGTTCAAAATACATAAAAGTCGTTAACCTGATGTGGACCATAAAAGAACGCCATGATGCATAAGCTGACAACAAAACATAAAAATCACTCAAAAAACACATTTCTGGCTATATATACCTAAAGAGTCATCACAATTTCTTTCCAGTCTGCTAATGTAATGATCATATAGTGTACGTTTTATAGAAGAGATGATGTTTCTCCAG